TAATAATTAATTTTGCTTGTATTTTATAGTGATATTTTTTAAAATTTATTTTTAGTTCTGTATAAGATTTTTTTTATTTACTGTTAATTTAATTTATTATCCCAAAGAGGCGGTAGCCTAGAAAGGCTGTTAGTTTCGAAGCGGCATTTTGCGCTGTTTTAGTATAAATGTCCATGTCTCCTTGCAAATTGTTGTTACCAAATATTATCGCCCTGTATTATATATAAAGAAATTAAATAATGAAGAATCTGTATGAATACATGTATGTTTCTCGCACTGTGACGAAAACGACAGTATCTTGAGCCGTCAAATTTTGAATAATGTGCACCCGAACATAGGCATCTGGACCGCCGAATTTCGAATTTGTTTTAATCTATTTCATATTTTGTAAAACTTTAACGAATTTTTGATTAACAAACTCAAAGCTTTCAGAGCGAGCACTGTACGGAAAATAACAATTTTATCTCCAGTGCGGAAATTCTAAAGATATTGTGGCATCAGGTTCTTCTATTTACAATAAAATTAATGTAAAATTCCTTACCTGCTGCATCTTACCCTGTTTTAAAGTATGCGTGAAATTTCCTTCATCTAGTTAATAGACTAGATAAACACTTTTCTTTCCGGAGCAACAAAAGTTCTGTTACTCTTAGAATATTGCATGAAGTCACAATAACACAGTCCGCATTGTATACGCATTCACTAATGACATTGTTAAGCTGTAGCAGCTGGGTTTGAGCATATGCGCAACTTGAAATCATGCTATCCGTTTCAGTCTCCTGAAACAAGTTTTATTTCTGGTTTCTTATACTAGATTCTAAGTCCTACCAGCGGCCGAGCGGTAAAATCCCTCAACACTGGTAGTTCCGGCCGATGTTAGAATACCGACGAATGGGTGGCTGCATGGGCGTTTTCGTGATTTTCTGCAAGTGTAATGTGTTAATATGAGCCAGGTTCCTTTAAAGAGTCTTCCATGAAGGCATCCTTTCCTTCCGTGTAGTGCCTTAGGGCAGAAAGCGTAAATAATAAATACATACTACACTCTATGATACAGTTTTATATTCCGCTGTCAATGTATGTCTAATAATGCAATGTAGACTAAAAAATGCGTAGCATTAGCCATTTATTTTCATTATCTCATATTCATTCACTCTTCTATGTATAATATGAAAATACTATCTGGTATGCTACCGGGAAAAATTTTGAGAGAATTAAAACTAAACCTAATTTATAATTTTTTTCTTTTTTTCTTTTTCTTTTTCTTTTTTTTTTGTGGGGCAAGGAAGGATGCCCGTGCGTGTGTATGTGTGTATGTGTGATAATCTAACTTTCACAAATAATATATATCAATTGACAATGATTTGGATGTTTGTAGCTAATTAAGCGATGGAATAATTTTTAAACTTATCCGCAAAATATACAACAAGGATAGAGAATTGATGCTGAGGAATCAGTCTGGATTTCTGAAACATTTTTATTATTAACGGAAAAGCACGTAATTGATTAAGAATTTGTATAATCATTCACTAAACTAGGAACTGAAATATTTGATTGAAATTCCAAAATTGCCCAAAATGTCTGAAATAGTCAGGGCTAAACGGAACATTAATTAGTTTTTTCAGAGAGATGTATACACGTCTCTAACTATTTTATAAAATGTGATGCAAGCAAAGACAAAACTATTAACTTTTTTCCGTCTTAAGTTAGTTTCTGAATTTCTTTTTAGTTTTAATTTTTACACTTTTTTCTTTTTTATACTCTAAATTTGATTCTTCAAACAAATTTTCAATAATTTGAACTCTGGATAATTCGAACTGTAAAGCCATTAGGTTTTTGTTTTGAAGCAGAAGACATGAAAAATAAACAGTGCCCTCGCCGGGATTCGAGCCACGGTCCTCTCTAATGCGCGTCGAGTGTGCTACCGTTACATCACGAAGGCATGCAAAAAGGAAGGAGAACATACATACTCAGCCTTTTAAGGGCGACTGAGGATTAGAAGACCCAATCGCCGAATCCTCATGGTGAAGAATTATCATTCACCACCTCTTTTTTTTAGTTCGGGCACCACTGTAGAGTCATTAAATTTTTTTTTAAAGCAGAAGACATGAAAACTGAGCAGTGCCCTTGCCGGGACTCAAACCACGGACCTTTCGAATACGCGCCGAGTATACTACCGTTACACAACGAAAGCATTCAGAAAGGAGGTAGAAAATACCTTATAGAACAAGTTCCTAGCCCGCAGGAATTCGAATTTTAAAATAGGTCTTATGTTTGTGTTAACATTCCTTTCGTGGTCTGCTGTTTGTATTAAAGAACCATATTACTTGTCTGCACTATATTCGTATAATATGCTTGTTATGTCAAGCTTGGTTTTTATGCCAAGCAAACTGTGATCGCTTCCGTTAACACGTAGCACACTCCAAGCTATCTGCATAGCGTTTTGCAGAAAGATATATGCGCCAACATTGGTAGGTCATCATGTAGAGACATTAGGATATTTTTTGGAGGCCGGAGAGATGAAAAATTAACAACGCCTTCGCCGGGAATCGAACCACGGAGCTCTGGAATATCGGCCCAGCGTGCTGTCGTTACACCACGAAGGTACGCTAGGAAAGTGGGAGAAATACCTTATATACTGCCCTTTTTAAAGGGCGACTAGGGTTTAGGGGACCTAGTCGCCAAATCCTGGGTGCGGAGAATCATCATCCACAACCCTTTTTAGTTCCGGCGCCACTTGTAGAGTCATTAGTTTAATTGGAAGCAGAAAAGATGAAAAATATGCAACCGCCTTCGCCGGGAATCGAACCACGGATCTCTGGAATACCGGTCCAGCGTGCTATCGTTACACCACGAAGGCACGCTAGGAAAGTGGGAGAAATACCTTATAATCGTTATACAAAATGCATTGTTCATTTTGTTTGGCACATATTGTTCTTTCAAAAATTCTTCTAAAACAACATACATTTAAACAAAGAGTTAGTGTCCATACGTATAATCAGGGCTAAAAATATGTTCATGAGTATAATACAGCTCTGCATTATTCGGAAAGGCTCCAATTTTAAAACTCACAGTAAAGGGCATTTGCTACTATATATCAGTTGAATTATTCAGTGTTTCTGAAATCGTAACAAAAAATCCAAAAAATTATACTTTCATTTGTATATGTGACTTCCTTCTCAGTATCAGGTGGACTCTTCGTTGAAATGAACAAAACACCCTCAAGTCGGCTTAAGATTTTATTGCTAAAGTTCGTTATTTATCATTGATAATAATCCTGTACAAAGCACAAGGAACATTCATTTTCAGCTGTATCTGTCTATCATGGTCTTTATCCATTCTGCTTTATCCGCAACATTGGCGTACACGGTTTTAGCACCTGGTCCCGTGCACAAGCCAGTCATGAAGTTAGTGGTTGTGACCCAGCTGGCAGCTCCAAACACGTACCATTTATCACCGAGTTGGCATGAAAGTGGTCCACCACTGTCACCCTGAAAATGTCCAAATATGTCATGAAATAAATACAAACTTTAAAATTAACTTGGCAACAGTTAAAATTTGGCACTTATATATTATCGGAGAAGGACTGGCTAACTTTGGCCATAATTTGATATCATGAATTTTCTGTTTTTTGGAGAAGTGGAAAATGTTTGGCAATAACTTCTAAAATAACTTCGAAATGTTTCATACCCTGAGCTACAACTTTCTGCCGCCTCATGAACTCGCTAAGTACGACTTTAAATGGTCCCTTGCTGTTTCAATGTACCTTGCTTCTTCAACATCACAATGCGCTCCTCGATTGACCTCCAATGAAAGTCGATTTTGTGTAGATTAGAATATTACTGTTACTGAGTAATATATTGTTTCGTTTTACGGGTTCGTAGATTTGGTGTGATTGATGACAGCACTTGATCAAGAATCAAAACATAGTTTATTTAGTCAGTATAACTCAGAACAGTTCCAAAATCATGTTTACAGTCGACGAACACGTACGCTGAAACTACCACAAACACGCTAAAACAATCAGCCACACAGCCTTCAGGCTATAATAGGGAAGACAGTTTCACGGCAAAGCAGTAAAGTACAACTCCCGACTCAGTCGATTGCTCTCAGAGCTCAACAAGCAGGGTTTTTATAGCTTTCGGTCTGTCCTCGAGAACATTCTAGGCCAAACCGGTGAGAATTCGTTCTAGAATGTTTTCCGTCCGTCCATGACATATCGCCGATTTTGTCGCCAAATGGGCGATTTCGCGCAAAATCAGGCAAATTTGCTTTCCTTTGCCATTTTCTGGCTGCCCTAAAGTGGGGAAGCTATCTTACCGCGGCTGGGCATTTCGTAGCAATATTTTATACTCTTGTAAGAAAATGATAGCATCACCTTCATGGCTTGGTAGACCCCCCAGACTCCGAAGAGAAAACTAAAAACTTCCTTGTTAAAACTGCAACTTACAAGAGTTCTTAAGACTTCGCGACGTCATGCATTTAATTTGCTCTAGTAATAAAATTGTGTTAGGGTACCAAATTTGGCCACTATTGTCTCTTTTTTGGCGAATTTGTCTTTTCTCCATTAACACATTTACTAAATACTTAAATTTGTATTCCTTAAATTTGTATTCCCAATTACTTAAATCCCAGTACTTAAATTTGTATTCCCAATTACTTAAATCCCAGTACTTAAATTTGTATTCCCAATTACTTAAATCCCAGTACTTAAATTTGTATTCCCAATTTCCCTGCAAGTCTAGTTTTTTTCCTATGCAGTCAGTTTAAAATGCTAGAAAAATTCCAAGCAAATTTCAATATAATTTTCTTATTGCCATCGCACAGGAGGTCTAAATACAAATATGTATATCACATTGAATACCGACTTTTTACACGTGCCAGGCATAAACGAAAGTGTTTTTTGCACTGTACAGTTACTGATGATGAACAATGGATCCACTACGATAACCCAAAGAAAATGAACTCATGGGGACCACCTGGCCATGCTTCAACATCGACCACCAAGACGAATATTGATGGGAAAAAAAACATCATGCTGTGTATATGGCTAGATCAACTTGGTGTCGTGTATTATGAGTAGCTCAAACCGAACAAAACCATTACTGGGCCTCTCTACCAAACACATTTGATGAGACTTAGCCTAGCACTCAAAGAAAAATGCGTCGATTACTACTCCAGACATAACAAAATTATTCTGCTGCATGATAACGTTTTTCGCATGCTGAGGTCAAAGCCTACTCGAAAGCAATCAAATGAGAAGTTCCCCCCCCCCTTGGCTGTATTCACCAGGCTGATATCTCTTCGTTTCCATTGACGCATGGCCTGTCTGAGCAGCGCTTTACATCATACGGAGATACCTAAAATAGGGTTGATTTGCGGATAACCTCGAACAATGAAACGTTCTTCCGAGGCAGTATCCGCATGTTGGTAGAAAGATGGGGAAAAAATAGTGGCTGGTGATGGACAGTACTTTGAACAGAAAATGGCGTACCTTTCTTTCATCAATAAATGCCCAATTTTTGATAAAAGCAATGAGTATGTGTTTGCACTCCCAATATATAAATATATGTATATATATATATTGAATAAATACAAATTTAATTAAATTTTAACAAAAATGTATAGACGTAAAAAAAGCAAATTTAAAGTTAAAATAATGTGCAAACATATAAAAGAATTAATTTTCGAACTAATTTACAATATCATTTAGATTCAGATTGCATAAATAAATCAAGTGCAAAACCAAAACATGAAAATTCACCAATTTAGCAAATTATACAGGGTGAATCTGAACAAGTGGGTAAAACTTTAGGGGGTGATAGAAGGCAGCTATAAGAGCAATATTAGTCACAGAATGTACAGGTCGTAACGCAAGTGGTGAGAAGTTAAAAGGCGGTATTCCATTGTCACATTTAAAGAATTAACACAAGAATAAGAGGAGATACTTCAGAAAACATTTTATTAACAGAACATGCTCATCGAAGTTGCTCAAAAGACTTTCCGCCTGTTGTAATTCAGGCTTCACACTTGAGGGATAGGAGGGATTGACGCACATTTGCTCAGGCGCCAGGCATTTCCCCGAATATCGCCGGCAGCAACAGCGATCCTGGCGACTAGATCCATATTGGTTTCTCGTAGATTAGGTTTTTCATATGGCCCCACAGGAAACATCCAAACGCGAGAATTCTGGGACCACCACGACCAATCCATCGCCCTGGAAGTTTCATGGTACCTGGCCAATCTATGGGACCACCACGACCAATCCATCACCCTGGAAATTTCATGGTACCATAGGTTGGCCATCTTGGTGGCCAATCTATGGGACCACCACGACCAATCCATCGCCCTGGAAATTTCATGGTACCATAGGTTGGCCATCTTGGTGGCCAATCTATGGGACCACCACGACCAATCCATCGCCCTGGATATTTCATGGTACCATAGGTTGGCCATCTTGGTGGCCAACCTATGAGACCACCACGACCAATCCGTCGCCCTGGAAATTTCATGGTACGTATCACCAGCAATCCTCTCAGCAGTACACGGAAGAAAATGCCGTTGGGTGCTAGAACCGGTGCCGTTGGGTACCGCTTAAAATTTTGCCCACTTGTTCAGATTCATCCTGTATATGTGAGAGAATAAAACGTTATACTTATTTTTTTTTTCAAATATTACAGTATTTGAAAAGATAAAGAGTCTTACATGGCAAGGAGAACTTTGGTGTTTAGCAACACATATTTGAGTATGTTCGTTAACGCTGCAGTTTTCTTTAGACTGGACCATTTGATCAGACTGCTTCAAGAATTCTGCTCCTCCGGATCCTAAACGGGAAAAGTAAAATTTAAACTTTCATTGTTTGAGTTATAGGATATAATCTGAAAAGAGCTAACATATGCCTTTTGAAATAATTAACACGGGAACTTCTGGAGAAGAGAGGAGCAGCGAAAACATGTTTTATAAAATTATTCTTCAAAACGATCTGAAATAATTACAAAAACAATGTTTTATATGGATACAGCTTTCTAAAGTTTAAATAATGTTTCACAAAGACCACTGAAGAAAAATTTGTAGCTGTTGCCTACCACTTCGTTGGCTCTACATGTAAAAGTTTAGTTGAATAAATAAGAAGTGATAAAATTCTTGGATGGATATTGTTACTAAAAACAACTTCTAAGTCTTCGGTGACATATAACCGATTTTCTTTCTCTCTCTTTTTTAAAATAAAATCGAGTTAAAATTTCTTTTTCCTAAAATAGGTTGAACAGCATCTGTTAGATATTGCAAGATAAAGCTTCGAATCTTTCGTGAGAAATGTAACCATAGCACGACGTAAATTTTGTAACATAGTTTTTTCTTTTAATAACTATTGGAAAGTTGCAAATGTTAGAAAACTTATCATTTGAATGTGTTCCAGTATTTCAACTGAATAGCATTCTAGTGTATATCGATATGATGCATTATGAGAGAGAATAAAATAAAGAGTAGTTTTAAGGAGCCTTTTTATTGATTTTAAACTGCTGAATTTGTTAATAAATAACAGGTTGATTAAACATGAAAGGTAAATTAAAGATCTTATATTTTGAAGAATGGTAAAGAATACTCGAGAGTAAATTAAAGATCCTATGTTTCTTGCAGGGACCTCAAGAATTGTTTCCAGATTCTTTTCGTTCTTTTCATCGTTCACTTTTCCCAGAACAGGATTTTAACCCTTTGACTACGAATTAAAAACAATTTACCCCGTTCTCTCCAAGAGAGCAAAATATGCCATAAATAAGGTAAATTTAGCATTTGGGATTTTTTGACAAACGGTTTTCAAGCCCAGAGGCTGGGACACCTATGTCCCGGCTGTAGTTAATGATGGGATACAAATGTCCCACCCGTAGCGATCGACTTACAAAGACATCTATTATTCTAGAAAACTTTATTATATGAAATAAAATTTACATCGTATAGTACAAGGTAAGGCATTCATTGCATTACCCAACATTACATATTGGGCAACTCATAGTTTTCTTTTTCTCTATGTTCATTTGCGTACAACGAGTACAACGGCATTGTGATTTTCCAGCTATGGAAGATGATCCCCAACATTCAGGAGATTTTAAATGCTTTTTGACGCAGTAATAATTTTTAAACTTTTAATGGGACATATATGTTCCGTTAGTAGTCAAAGGGTTAAGTCTTAAACGAAACTTGTTTCTGCAGCTAATCTTGTGGACTGCGTCGCCGACGTGCAGATTTTCTTACCTTAATTATTATACATTATTCGGATTAAAATCAAAAATTAATATAAACTAGATTTGCAGACTGTAAATGTAAAATTTTGAAATTTATATTAAATATCTAATATGAGTACTTGATTTTAAAATGTTTTCCGTTGAATGTTCAAACGCAGCTTTTTTTTCTATGGGTACTATCGTGAAAGTGATCATTCTTACTGAGGAATAGTTAAAAATAAGGTGAAAGTGCAGAATCGCCCACTGCTTGGCGCGTTTTTCAAAATCGCCAACTTGGCACTCTCTCGCGTCTTGTCTCCTGGATTTGCAACCCCTCCAGAAGATACTACGCAAGGTGCGACATTTACAATGGGGAACAGGTTAAAATAAATACAAAATAAAAGTTGAAGAAAAATTCTTAAATCTGAAAAATCCTTTAAAAACAGCATAATTTAAAAAAAAACATGGTTAAGGAGACATAGTAAGCTTCAAAAACTTAAAATCGTTACAAAACCTGAAAAATTAAAAATTGATTCACCTATAAAAAAATTGGAGAAAGTGCAGAATCACCCACTGCTTGACGCGCTTTTAAGAATTTTACAAACTCGGTATCCATGTACACATCGACTTAATTTCACTTAAAAAACATCCCAGAATTGCACAAAAATTGGATTGCGCACTCTCTTGACTTTATCCACACATCGACCTATTTTCACGTTTTTAAGAATTTTATAAACTCGGTATCCATGTACACATCGACCTATTTTCACTTAAAAAACATCCCAGAATTGCACAAAAATGGCATTGCACACTCTTTTGACTTTATCCATGTACACATCGATCTATTTTCATTTAAAAAGGTCAAAGAAAATTGACAAAAATCCAATTCTTCTTACTCTTGTAAAAAGCGCTTTTTAATAATAATAAGTGGGAAATTTTTAAAACAGAAAATTCTTTCAAAAAACCTAATAACTTTAAAAACTAAAATCGTTTCAAAAACATAGTAAGTTTAAAAAACAAAAGATCCTTACAAAACCCTGAAAAATTAATACTTTCACTTCCAAATAATTTTAAAATATGAAAATCCAATCTTTACAAAAACATAATTTTAAAAACTAAGAATAGTTTCAAAAACGTAGTAAGTTTCAAACACTTAAAATCGTTACAAAACACTCAAAATTTAAAATACTTTCACTAACCTGAAAACGGGTAATCCACTCCGCTCAGCCGATGAACGAAAAGTAACGAATTCACAAAATGTTCTCGAATTATTGTTTAAAATAACTGCACCTCTACCATCTATTATCGTCTACACCAATCAGAAATTTTGAATTTTAAAATACATACTGAGCGCACGCGAAAAGGCTCCGGATTTCGCGCTCAAAACAAATTTTCAATTTAAAATACATACTACGCATGCGCGAAAATGCTCTGAAATTCGCCTTCCAGAACGGCAAAATCGACTTGGACACCACATTTGGCGCATGTATCAATCTCGTAAAAAGCGCCAAACACAACGCGCCAAATAAGTGGGCGATTCTGCACTTTAGCCGAATTTAATACTGTATTCAAAAGCTAGAAATTGAAATATATAGTACATCTTAACTTTCACTTATATACGTAAAAAGAAAATGGGAAAGTTTTGTAATTGATAAGGAGTAATTACTCCAAAACTACAAAGGATAATGTATCTCCTTACCTCTGCTCTCCCCCCATCCTGTCACATAGCAAATAGTACCCGGCTGTAACTGCCAGCCAAGCCTGGGCATACAGGCGGGCTGTACGCCATTATTGAATTTCACTGGTGCGTTCAGCTTGATGAGACTGACATCGTCGTTCATAGAATATCTCCTGATCTATAAAAAAAATTAATCAGAAAAATCCGGTAGGAAAACAATCAGAAAGTTAAAGAATATGGAAACTACTCTTATAGGCACCCTCAGGTCGCCAAATGCGGCGACAAATTTCTCGCCAAACATTTTTGGTGAGAACCTCCATGGTGTCATATTACTATCTAACTTTTTTGTCTATATTTCGAACTTTAGGCCTAAAATGTCTGAAAAAACCAGTTTTCGCACATGCAAAAACCACGTTTTGAACACACAATTTAAGCTAAAAATCCGAAACAAAAACAAAAAGTTAGATAGCAAAAACGTAAAGTTTCTAACCAAAAATATTTGACAAGAATCCACGTACACAGCGATAAAAAAAACATCTGCGAATAAGCTGGGCAACGAACGAACTACCCACACCTCGCTTCAATAAATTAACCTAACAGAAATAAATTTCAAAGAATACCATGTACACAGCATCCCGTTTAAACTTAAAAAAAAATCTACGAATTGCACAATCTAGGCATTACGCACAAATCAAGTAAAATAACTAAAATTACAAACACTAAAATCAAAAAACAACAGTAACAACAGAAATTCATAGTAAAAAAGCAATGAACATAACATTCTACAAAATAAAAACAGTGAAATAAAATGCACTTACCATAATACATGCGTTAATAAAATTTCGCCAGTCATACAACGTCTGTGAACAAAAGTGCCACGATTCAAAATTTCGAAACCAACGAAAGTTCCTCCAAAGTTAACTTACTACGAGAAAACAACGATCCAAATCTTAAATTCCGCTGACAGCCACATACTTTATCAACAAGCATTTGACAGCAAATCCACACAAGAACAATCAGAAACGCCCTTCTGCGTCCGAGTTTTCATAGCAGCTCCGCATTTCGGACTCCGTTTTAAAAGTCCCACAGAAATTCCAAAAATACACTTCGATCGTCATTAACACACCCGTGAACAAAAGACTCGTTAACAACACCAACATCGTACCTTTTAATACTAAATATACTTTCCACACAATCTAAAATACGCGACTGAAATCTTGCCACCACGTCTATCATTGTAACAGAGGCCATTTCAAAACACGCAGACACGAACCAATGAGCAATTAAACCACTGCAGCAAAAGAGTTAAGTTTCAACATCAAAAGGGTTGCCATACAAACAACATCGTCAAAACCGCGCCAAAAACCAGCGCAGAACATATATCGCCACATTTGGGGATCTTAGGGCGAATATAAGAGTAGAGAAAAGATATGCTTTAAGTGCACGAAAATTTACAGTATTTTACTTCGATTTACGTATTTTGTAAAATTCTATAGTTATTTCAATGTTAAAGTAAGAAATGCATATCGTTTTATCCCGTGTAATTCTCCCCACATGTGTTTACTACTTTTATGGTCCGAAAATCAGAAGGGAAAAATTTTTCGAATAATTTAATTTCCAAAGGACGCGTTATACTAAAGCATCGTTCAGACGGGGGTGTAAAGGGAATAAGTGGTTAAAGCCGAGCTCCGTTGGCATATTTCACAAGTGCAGATCAGCGTAGCCACTGAGGGAGGGGTTTCGAAAATGGACCAATGAGCTCTTGTGACGCTAAAGTTATGCAGTAGCAGGTGCAGTTTCCCCAAATGCATTGTATCAATTTACTGCAGACAGTTTGACCTTTAAGTGGTTTCTTATCTTTTGGCTGATCGTGACATTTCGTTGTTATTCTTTTGTGGTACAGTGTGCGTGTGCTTTTAAGCTTTAATCAGCAATAAAAGAGCAGTTTAAAAATTTAAGGATTATATTTATTTTTAAACAATTTATTCCTTCCTATAAAAATAACGGGAATAAACAAAATCTCATTCGTTATCATAACAAAGCCAGAAAGGCTTGTTGGCCTGACCTTCAGAATTGTTTTATAAAGAACGGGGTCAAAGGCTAATGGAATCTTTGTTAGAAAGTACAAAGATGTCATTCGAAATCTTCACACCTATTTTCTGCGTTAATGGACGGGGAGGGGAGGAAATTGCTGTGAAACTTAAAACCTATTTTGGGCGTTTCGATATTTTGAGGACACAGGTTAGCGAAGGGTCTGGATTTCAAAGAGTTAAAGCACGCGAAAGATCATGTAACATGACAGAAATATTACTGGATGCCCGTTGGTCCATTCTAGAAGCCACTCCCTCGGTGGCTAAGCAGATGTGCACTTGTGAAATACGCGCTCCGTTGCCAAGGTAACCAGTCTGTGCTACGTCACAAAATCTGGTTTAGTGCTCGTGGCATAGGGTTCAAAGTTTTCAACTTTACGCCGAGTTTGGGATAAGTGTCGACCAATCAGAGCTAAGCTAAAACGAAGCTGAAGCTAAAACAGAAGATTTCGCTGTCAGAAACGCAGGAAGTCAGTCGAGCAGGAAAACAGCGCAAGAAAGTCGTAGACACATCCACGCATGCGCAAATTTAGCTTCTCCCATTGGCCATGGTTTATACGCCGTTCTCGCAAGTGTGAATGGAATTTCTGTATTTTATGCCCTTATGACTACGCCTCTATGCCCTTTACGCCACCGTCTGAACGCAGCCTAAGATCATACCAAATGAAAAGCGGTCATCGATAAACTACAAGTAACTATCACAATATTATTTCTTTTAAAAGAAACCTACATTCCAATAAGAGTGCATAGCAATATTCACATTACAATATCTAATGAAGTATCTTCATTTCTACTTTTCTGTAACATTAATTTCGCCCGTTCTTACTGTTGTTTCTGCTACTCCGCTATTCCTTATGTCCCAAACTATCCAGAAATAATTAAGAAAGGTGAATGTTCAGCCGATTCGGAGAAATTATAGACTGAATGGCAGTTCGTGTTTGCTTCGCACTGATCGATGGGTTTTGTGAACAAAATCGAGATTCGTTTGTAAAGATAATATCGTTCCACTTGTCTGCCTGTGTTCGGCGCCGCCATAATCGATATAGTATTTAATGATACTGCCTGTCGTACCATTATGAACCAGAGCAAAATCCTATTGAGTGGTTTGATGGCAGGAGGGAGGGATGAGAGACACTTTGCACCATTGATTGGGGATCAGGATTTGGGTGAAATCTGCACAGGTAGTGCGATGGGATTATGTCTATACAAGACATTATGACATTCTGGTGTTCCACCCACTTATACCTCTGCCTGTACCCGCTGATGTCTGGGGATCAAAGCAAAGTTCCAGCGTCATGCGTCTCTAGTTTAGGGCCAATAGCAATCGCATTAATGGTGGCTCTGCAAAGATTTCCCTCATCTGCAGACGACATCGAATGGTACGTTCTGACACACACGTCTAGGTAAAAGACCTTGATTTCTGACCGAACGATTCTTGATGTTTGCTGCGTGGCCCGTTATTGTAATAAGCACAACATGCGTACTTTCTATTTCTGTCGGGTAACAAAGCTGTAAAAATTGTTCTCAGTTGTCGGTCCGTTCCACGCGCGTCAACCTATTTTACATTTGCACCTTTATGTCTTAATTTTGTTCAATGTGGACACCGATTTCTCGGAAAGGTAATCCGCTGTCTCTATTGTTTAGTCAATTTCAGAAACTGGTTGTAGTACCTGCGGTGTTTTGCCCCCCGACGAGGCATACTGGAGCTCATAGGTGAATCATGATTGCATATGCGATCATGATCACATGATTTGCATATGCGTTGCAATGTTAATCATTTTCATGCCTTATTGAGTTCTAGTCATAAACAATGACAAGTCATTGTATGCTTTCTTCAATTCTTTATTCAAGGTCTTTTGCATGCTTTCTTACATTAAGACGCCGCTTAATGTAATCAGATTACTGCTATCGTTCGGATATTGTTATCAAATTGCCGAAGTTCCGCCCGTTTGTATACGACAACATGGGAAATACATCGCCTATTGGTATAAATAATTCGGTTAATATGATCAATATACTGTAGAATAAACATTTTAGACTGAAGTACAGTCACCAAATAAGTTTAAAATGTATTATAAACATTATCAGTTTACTGAGAAACATCACTAAGTAAGAGATTACGTCGCCAAACATATTGGTTTCAATTTTAGTCAACCATTTAAAAGTAAGTAAAACATCAGTCTTAGTCTGGCGTAGATTTTCGATAACTCTATCGATTTTGAAATCAGATTTGAGGTCAGATACATACATCTCTTTTTGAGGAGCATAAATGTCTGCAGGCAGTAAAAGTCAAAGACTGACTTCTTTTGCTCATTTTAAATATCCCATTGCTATGGCGTCTTCCCGTGAATGAGGAACGTCTTCCAAATTAAGGGCACAACATCGATCAAATAAAGTCCAGAAACGTTGTGAACGGTTCACAAACAAACTTTTACAATTCCCGTTTTAAAATGCTGGTAAAATGCCTATTTATCCGTAGGCTGTCTGAAAAGTTTCCGACCTAACAAAGAGAAATATATTTTTTATCCAAAATTACCTTCATTTTTCGACATAATCTCCTTTTAAATCTATACATTTCCAGCGATGCTCCCATCCCTTTAACCCAGCCAAATAACATGTGGAATCTTTCTCTGCAAACTCTCCTCATATCTTTGCCTCCAAGTGCTTCTTTTAGCTTAGGGAACAAAAACGTCACTTGCTGCAGGTTCTGACGAATAGGACGGGTGCTCAAGTAGTTCAAGCCGTCATTTCCGTTTCTGATATTGCAAATGCTGAGGTGTAAGATGGAGCATTGTCTTGGTGAAGCAATTTTTTTTTTCTTTTGCAAATTGGGCCGTTTTTCCGCAACTTCTGTCTTGAGCTTGTCAAGTAACTTTGCATAGTATGCTCCGGTAATGGGTTTTTCTTTTTCAAGACAATCTATTAAGACAGTCGCATGGCTTTTTTGGAGCCGATTCTCCTTTTGCAGTCCACTGTTTTGACTGTGTTTCTGTTTTGGGCTGTCCGCTGTAGACGAAACTTGGATTCATCATTCCGTAATGATGAGTCCAGGTTTCATCTACAGTGATTAATGGTCAAAACTACTCCGATTTACTGCACCAACAGAATGGTGCAAATGTTCATTCGGCCACGTTTTCGGTCCAAAGTGAGCAAACGCTGCACCCAAACTGCAGCCAGCTTGCGCATATCTAAATCTTGTGGCTCAATATACGGCCAACACGTTCTTTGGACATACTCATAGCCTTTTCTATCTCTCTAATCTTGATTCGACGGTCATCCAGTACCATTTGGTGGATTTTAGAGATGTTTTCGTCAGTGGTTTCAGTTTTCGGTCGTCCTGAACGTTCATCCAAGCGGCCCACCAGCGGCCGAGCGGTAAAGACGCTGAACACTGGTAGTTCGGTCCGAGGTTCGAATCCCGCGAACGGGCTGGCTGCATGGGCGTTTTCGTGGTTTTCCCCATGTGTAACGTGTATACGAGCCAGTTTCCCTTAGAAAGTCCTCCACGAAGGCATTCCTCCCTTTAGGCAGATAGCCCTCGTGTGCTTTGCCATAATTAAATAATGCAATCCGTTCACCCAAGCTGGTACGGCCACCTTTAAATTCACCTGCCCTAAATTTCACAGCAGTAAATGATGGTGCAGAATCCCCGTACACTGTGTCCAACTTCTTTTAATTTAAGTAGGTGTATTACCTTTCAAAATTAGGTACCTAATGACTGTACGATACTGGATTTTTTCTATTTATGCAAAAGCGGTCATATCAACTACAAACTTGATTGTCAAACAAAAAACTCGCAAAACTCGAGTTCAAAATAGCTGCAATTTTAATTGCTAGTTATCAAGTGATGTCCAAATAAGTTCTCCGCACCTTGTTTGATTTGAGTTGTCTTCTACATATTGAGGTTGGAAAAGTTTCAGACAGCCCCTCGTATGTTTCTGGTTATATTTTCATTGTGTTAGGTAACTTCTATTCTTACCTTGTAGGAAATTTGGTGAATCTTTACATTATGGTAACTTGTTGATTTTTTGGCGAAAAATTGGCGACCAACCCTGCTAAAGCAACCTGCTACTTTCGTTTTGGAAGCAATTTTGTTTACATGAAGTAAAGGCATGTTTTATTTTTTACTCAACATTTTTTCCGACAAACTGCTAGCCGAATTACGCTTATACTAGAATTTTTATGGAACAAAAATGCTTAATCATGACGAAGATTAGGTGCGAAATTGGGAGAAAGTGCAAAATCGCAAAATGCTTGCCGCGTTTTTAAGAATTGCACATACACGGTATCCATGTACACGTCGACCTATTTTCACTTAAAAAAAATCCCAGAATTGCACAAAATTGGCATTGCGCACACTTGGCTTTATCCATGTACACATCGACCTATTTTCACTTAAAAAGTCAAAGAGAATTGACAAAAATCCAATTCTTCTTACTCTTGTAAAAAACGCCAGGCAAATAAGTGGGCGATTCTGCACTTTAGCAACGAAATTGTTTCTAAGTGCTTATTAGCTAAAATTACGATCGGAATTTTCCGGAAAATGTCACATGACATGCCTCATGATCTCTCATTTCTCTGAGACAAAATAATCTGTGATTCGAAAATAATCTGTGAAATACTGTGTACTTCTCAGATTATTGCTAAAGTCCTAGCTAGTAACCTTTATCGCCTTACCAAAATGTCACCAAACTACCTGTTACCATGTTCTAAAGATTAGCCGGAAATTTTTATTGTTGTTACCATTCGGTTAATGTTATCTATTTAATTGCAGACAAACCTAATCACATTAATCAGCACTTAATGTAGCAACAAAACTGGCCAAGGCTATAAAAATAGTTTTATCATCCCTAAAAATTTCGTCAGCTTAAATCTAAAAACTACTCAGCAATTTCACTTTCAGAAATGTATGTTTTTTGTAAACATCAATAATATTAGTTACATAAATTCAATAAAATTATTGCATTTATAACTTAAATAATCTTATAAATTAAGCAAAAATCTGCCAAGTGTACTCACATCGTCAAGCTCGAGATCGGGATAAGCAATCACTTTCTTGGAGATCCTCACTTGCTCATATTGAGTCTTTTTATATTTGCTGTGAGCTCCGAGATGAATTTTGATGCCGCCGGGATAAGGACTCCTGTTAAAAATGTTCAATAATAAAATGTGAAAACTGAAATTAACCCTTTGTTGCATCATGTCCACTCTAGTAGACAAAAGTTTAAATTAGTTTATTCTTCTGTAAATGCCTAACAGATTCCATTCTTGTGTTTATTCATTCTGTATTATTAGAACTTTCA